TTTCCTGAGAGATAAAAATATTTATTTGAAGACCAGAATTCCGTTGTTCAACAACTCGAATGTCATTGTCAAGTTCGTATTACTTCATAAATGGGAGAGATGAACGTAAATGGAATACACTGAATGCAAATGACAGATATTCATCAACAATTTTCTCGCACGGATTCTGTCTTTAACATTATCAAATAGCATCTCAAAATAAGACCAAAAGCAGAAAAACAAAGAACGCGATGGCTCTAGATTACATGTCGGACAGTAGTGGAACCTAGAAAGTAAGTGGAAGAAATGAGTCCGGTGATGACCCACAAATTAAAAACTGGTTTCATAATTAAAGAACACTTTTAAAGATAATCTGTATGGTTTCATGAATTGTTGTTATAGTTTTTCTGTATATATTGATCTTATAATTCTTGTATTACTGTATTAGCTTGATAACGTTGAAAGAATATTCTTCGAAACGTCGCCCAAATAAATAAGTAGCTTTTTTTCCATAAGTATGTGTTTTTGTGTATTACTTTTAAAGATGCATGATGTAAGAGCTAAATCTACCTATTGCAGATCTTTATTTTGGCAACTATTAATTTTACACAATAAACTCTCTAGACCATGAGATCGCAGAGATTTAAATGGATTAAAACGCCTAGGAGATTTTCAAAAATTAACGATTAAATGGATAATCGAGACTTACTCCCGTTTGTCCAGTACCATTTCCACGATAATACACAATCTTCGCTGCATCTTCGGACACTCATAACTTCGGTTAGGATAATGTAATATGAATGAAATTTTCAATATTTTCATTTTTTATTATCTATTTTGGAACTTTTTGTAGCTCGAACGGCCAGTCCTTTATCTTAATGTGACATAATGCATCTTTAATGACACTCTTTTATTGGACCCATATTGATATCACGCACAGATCAGGCCTTCATGACCCTGAATCAGTACAATTACTGATATGATTGGTTACTTAAGCCAAATGATGCAATTAATAAATTTCCAATCGCGTGTTAAACATGATATTCTGATTCCCACAGACACAAATTATAATTCCTTTTATGTGCAAATTCGTCACTCATTGTTTGAGTGCATTAGATACGACTTCTATAGAATGTGTTAACTAAATTATTTAATAAAGATATAATATAATGATATCATTACTTTAAAGAGAACAAATTCTACCAATAGTTTTACACTACATGCAGGAAGTCGCTGCTGCCCACCTTCATGTGTATGACATTACTTTCGAATAATATTTTTTCTTAAATTTAATTAGATTATATTGAAAGTCGCTATTGCAAAGCTTAATCTGTATCACATTATTTTGTAGATAATTGTCATAAATAATTTGTTTTAATGATATAAAAAAATTATCAGCACCTGTTGCTAAGTTTGTAACTCAATATCATCCAAAGTCTTCCACATTGAAAACACGAATTATTTGTCAATTTAAATCAACGTTGATTTGTGGTCTTACTCGAAGAGCGGGGCTTCTGATATCCAATATTCAAGACAAAATTATAAACATTTCGTGTACCATTCCACAAGTCATTTGAAACGGTGACGACATATTATTATCTGGAGACCATGCGCAATACATACTATCGATGTAGACTGGAATAATCACACGCTAGAGATTGCCATTCGATTGAGTCGAGAATTCTGGCGTATTTCGCTAGATTGAATATAAATCAGTTTATATACCTCCATATTAGATTATTATATGCGTTACGATCGATTTGTGTCAATTTCTAGGTCCCAAATATTAGCGACTAACCTTCTTTAACAATTCCCCATTCTATGTGCGTAAAGCCGCGTTCCGCAGCGGAAGCTCTGACCTTATGATTGGAAAACTAAGATATAGCCATTGAGACAGAATCCCACGTAAAATGTATGCCTACTTCTGTTATTGACGTTTTAAAGAAATGCACACGATAGATGTAAATTTCTATATGTCTACAAAAAAGGAAGTCATTAGTATTTTTTCTAGTGACATCAACGCCGGTATAATATGCAATTTTATAGTTGACATGTTTCAAATGAGTTCCCGGTTTTTAAAAGATATTGGGTGGGGGTGGGGATGGCCGAATTGTTAGCGCGTTCATTGAGTCACAACTGGCGTGGTTTCGATTCCCCGGTTGTTCGTGGATTTCCTGCGGGTTCCCACGATTCTATCCAACTGCTTAAGCGAATTATTGAAATAAAATTATAAAATTGAACCATATTGCCGAAATTACCTTGCTTTTGTCGAGTGAACGTTATACCCCTCTCTCTCTCTCTCTTTAAAAGATATATGATATTATTTTATGATATGATTTTTTATTTAATATTAAAGATACATTATGGGAGATTAGATAAAGAGCTGACAGTTCTCATTATAATAGTTAAAAACTAGATAATGTAAAGGGAATTTGCTGAAAATGTCAGTCAAATTTATCTACTCTGAACCGAGCATTTAGCGATTGAATTTTCGGCCTAGCCTCAATCATCATTACTAAAGTCGGTACGATATAAAACATAGTCTCGATTATCCAATACATGATTTAATCATGAATGAAAGTTGAGCAGCAAATCGGATCCTAATCAAGTAAATATCGCAGGCTAGCTATGACATCGAGAGTTGATTATGGTCTGGATATGTTAATTAATGTCTAATTAATAATTAAGCAAACATTTCAGCCTAAAGAAAGACGTGCAATAAGCAGAATTAGCTCTTGCATAATGTATGTTTAATCTAGCGTCCCATAGACCACTATGATCGGACGATGTTCATTTAAATTAAGTTTTTAACTGAATAATGATGTGTAAATGTACATCGAGTGACAGTTCTTCTTCTTCTTCTTCTACTTCTTCTCACTTAAGCTGTCTAATGTCAGCTTACTTACAGGTACTTACAGGTCCTCTTCTGAGTGCTGGCCTTTGGCCACTATACTCAGTTCTTCATTTTCATTTATTTGAAAGTCTCTTCCGATATCGAGGTTGGATTCATAATTATACAATAATTCTTGTTCATTCCAGAATTTATCCAGTCTATGTTCAAATATTTTCGTGTTTTTTGCCTTTATCACATTCTCTGGTAGACTATTCCAGATGTTGATTATACGGTTTGTAAAGTAGTGTTTACGAATATCTTTGTTTGACCTATGTTGGTAAAGTTTTTTACTGTGTCCTCTTGTTACTTTGTCATTTACTGGTACAAGTAGTGGGGGTGAGCTGTGTCATACTTCGTGGCGGTAGAGCTGTGTCATACTACTACATGATGTTTCTTTCTGAAGTGTATAGATAAGCAATGTGACTACATTTTTCCGACAAATACAAATGACGCTAATTAACACCAAATGACTTTAAATAACTTTCCACCACAATATACTAATATAGAGTGTAAATTATTATTGAAAGTTATAGGCAATTCAAATTATTATTGAAAGTTAAAGGCAATTCAAATTATTATTGAAATTGAAAGTTTTTGGCATTTCAGATTATTATTGAAAGTTACAGGCAATTCAAATTTACATAGTTTCTAATACATTTTTTTCCGTTAATACTTTTTAAATTATTTTAGTTTCTAATACTTTTTTTTCCGTTAATACTTTTTTAAATTATTTTAGTTTCTAATACATTTTTTTTCCGTTAATACTTTTTAAATTATTTTAGTTTCTAATACATTTTTTTCCGTTAATACTTTTTAAATTATTTTAGTTTCTAATACATTTTTTTCCGCTATTACTTGTTTAAATTATTGCGTTAATACTTTCTAAATTTACATTAGTTTCTAATATATTTTTTCAGTTAGAATTTTTTTATATTATTATCTCCTCGACAATTTTCCTAAGAAATAATGGATTTGTAGCATACTGATATTTTAAACTTTAAGGTTTTTGTTAAGTAATTATTTCAGTAGAGACAGTGTCATATTTATTACCAATGTAAATGCATTAAAAACAAATATTGCTAGTTTTTTTTAGTTTATGAAATCGATTGAAATGAGAGATTTAACGTCATACATTTTGCACGAAGCTGGGGTAATGAGGTTTAACGTCGTGCTGTTTTGTTCCGACTGGGCTTATGAAGATGGGTATACGTCATACAGTGTGCTATTAGGGAAATTTTTCCCGGACAGCGGCGCAACCGCTTACTCTTATATCGAATTCCAACTGCCCCTCGTTTACGTGCAAGCCATTGTGAGGCTAAAGTATGTGCACGTCATTATGAGGCTAATGTAGACCGTCAAAAGTAACGCAGTGTGCTATGAAGGAAATTTTACCCGGACTTTGGCGTATCCGACCTCCCCACTACTGTTAAAAACTTTGTTACACAAAGAGGCCCAACCGGACACCTAGACTTCGACATTAAGCTGGGCATAGTTGTTCTTTGGACAATTGCGCATCGAATGACGGGCTTGGATTTTTGATACTTCACAATTCCAAGTTGACGTCGCTGACGTCGGAGAATATTTAGGAGCTGACATTTTCAATAATTCGTGTTATCTACAAGAACATGCCACACGATAATATCAGCCTCACAGATGAGGCCAGTGACAAGTTATATAGGATGAGACAAGTGACAAGTGATATAGGATGAGACCAGTGACGAGTGATATAGGATGAGACAAGTGACAAGTGATATAGGATGAGACAAGTGACAAGTTATATAGGATGAGACAAGTGACAAGTGATATAGGATGAGACCAGTGACAAGTGATATAGGATGAGACCAGTGACAAGTGATATAGAATGAGACCACTGACAAGTGATATAGGATGAGACCAGTGACAAGTGACAAGTGATATAGGATGAGACCACTGACAAGTGATATAGAATGAGACCAGTGACAAGTGATATAGGATGAGACCAGTGACAAGTGATATAGGATGAGACCAGTGACAAGTGATATAGAATGAGACCAGTGACAAGTGATATAGGATGAGACCAGTGACAAGTGATATAGGATGAGACCTGCAACAAGTTATATAGGATGAGACCAGCAACAAGTTATATAGGATGAGACCAGTGACAAGTAATATTAATATAGTGTACACGAGACCTCCGTTTTTCGTGCCCATTCGAACTACAATACATTATACCGAGAACTGTCAACTCTATCTTTTGTGAAATTCAAAGGATTCTTTTAATGCCAACATTTTAGAATCCCAAATGCCTGGCATTACGAGTAGTAAATAAGGACGAAAGATGCCAGGGGCGTTATTATTATTATTATTATTATTATTATAGGATAGGCGTACCTGAATAAATGCTACCGATTAAAACGCAACTGTAACACAGTAAATTATTTGTAAAACATTGGTGTCACGCTTTGGTCAGCAGTCATAATCTTATAAATTTGATACTTAAAGTAGCTAAATCTCGAACTCAATATCATCCAAAGTCTTTGACATTGAAAACACGAATTATTTGTCAATTGAATCAACATTGATGTTGTGATCTTACCGGGAAAAGATGGGCATCTGATATCCAATATTTTAGACAAAATAAACATTTTACCATTGGTACACGAATCGTATACCATAATGGCATAATGCGTTTCGTTCGGCGCGATTTGTAACAAGGGACTCGAAGAACGAGGCTAGGCATATTCCACAAGTCATGTCAAACGATTACGCCGCCATATGCACAATAAACGAGGCTAGATATATTCCATAAGTCATGTCAAACGGTGAACTCATGTTCTTATCTGGAGAGCATGCGCAATAAATACCATCGGTGTAAACTAGGATAACCAGAGATTTCGCTGAACATAACTGTATAGAAATTATAGTAAGAACAGAAACGATTGGATGTAAATCAGTTGATATACATTCATCTTGCATTGTTATATGCGTTGTGATCCATTCGTTTAACATTGCCTTGGAATACCATTAACTTACAGGAAGTTACGTATATTCACGTGAAATCTAGTAGAGAAGTGACTAATTTAGACGTTCGATTTGAATATGGAAGCTGGTGTACAGGGGTTTAAGTCAATGAACTTAAGCAGCCCTGATCTGTTTATGTAGGTATATGACCTTGGTCCTTTGCCTACTGATTGTGTGAAATGTGTATAATTTCAGTGACAGAACATACACGATTGTATTGTATTCCTGCTAGCTAATGTTACAGTTTGATCACGACACACGGGATCGGATGTCTATGAGATTTTCTGAAAGCATGTCGTTAGATATTTTGTGATTCTAAGCAAATTATATCATCGATTATGCACCATTGAATTGTTTGCCAGCTAGCTGATGTAACATTTAAAGTAGCTAAGTCTCTAACTCAATATCATCCAAAATCTTCAACATTTAAAACGCGAATTATTTGTCAATTTAAATCAACATTGATGTTGTGATCTTACCGGTAAAAGATGGGCTTCTGATATCTAATATTTAAGACAAAATAAACATTTTACCATTGGTACATGAATCGTGTACCATAATACGTTTCAGCGCCATTTGTAACAAGGAACTCGGAAAACCAGGCTAAGCATATTCAACAAGTCATGTCAAACGATGACAACATATTCTTATCTGGAGAGCATGCGCAATAAATACTATCGGTGTAGACTGGAATAACCAGACACTAGAGATTTCAATTCGATTGAGACTTCTGGCGTATTTCGCCGAACATAACTGATTAGCAATTAGAGTAAAAACAGAAACTATTGAATGTAAATCAGTTTATAGACATTCATATTACATTATTATATGCGTTGCGACCCATTTGTATCAATTTCTAGATCCCAAATATTAGCGATTTAGCTCCTTTAAATCACAACATGACATATATTTTTTTTTTAAAAAAAGATCTGCTTGTATTTATGATTATGTGGGTTATATTTGTGAATAACAATTACAGAACTACAAGTCTTGTATGGCCGACAAGGACATACGCTCGTATCAAACCTATCAAATTGTCAACTGCGCTTAATAAAACGGTGATAAGCCTAGCTAATGCTATGTAACGACCTTTAGGGGAGAGGTCATATAGGTATAGTCTGTTCCTCAATCGTTTTTCAGAGAATAAAATATTCTTTATAAAAAGGGGGTCGCGGTGGCTAAGTGGGTAAGACGCTGGCTCGCTAGCCTGGAGTTGGGGTGTTCGATGATCCCTGCATTGGCCGAGAAAGTTCATCCAGATTTCCCGGCGTGATTCTCCCTTGTCAGTGATGCAGGACGGGGAGGGCCTGACAAGGACAGCTGTCTAGTCGTTCGGATGGGACGAAAAGAAAAACCGAGGTCCCGTATACACATTGGCTTGCACGTAGAAGATCCCTTGACGGTTGGAATTCGATATAAGAGTAGGCCGTAGTGCCGCTGTCCGGGCAAAATTTACCTCATAGCACACTGTATGGCTTATGCCCGTCTTCATTAGCCCAGTTCGGAGCAGAACAGTAGAACGTTAAAACCCCATTTCATTTCATTTCTTTATAAAAAAAATCCCTTTAAATTTTATTCAATGGTACATTTCCTATTTCTGTTAATTTTCAATCTCACAAAAATCCGTATTTTTAAAAATAATCAATAAAGAAGTCTCCGTGAAATGTTAAAACTGTCAGCAGTGTGGAATAAACTTGTTTATCAGTACAGATTGGCAGTTAAATTTCTACGACATATCTCCGAGGATCCATCATGCAGCTGTGGTCATCGCTTTGAAGATTCTGAACATTTTCTCCACTGGTGCCCACTGTATTCAGATGTACGAAAAAATACAATACATCTTTTACCATCACACCAGCAATCAGTTTAACCATTTCTTTTTGGCATAGAAAATCAGGCTGCATCTAATAACATCTTAAAAATAGTTCATGAATACTTCGATGTTACCAGACGCTTCAATATCTGATTCTATTTATAGAACCCTTTTATCATGTTATAAAACAGCACTTCCTCTTTTTTTCATTTCTTTTAAAATAGTATGTATACAAATTTTTTAATTTATATGATTTTCACCATTATGTTATAATATGTACATAGGAGATCTGTATATTATATGTTTTATATTCCTTGTATGAGGAGAGGGGTGATATAGGCTTTGCCTGTTCCCTGATCCCTTTTCATAAATTTCTGAAATAAAATATTGTTTACACAAAAAAAAATTGTCAGTTAAAGATGCATTATGTAAGAGATAAAGAGTTGACAGGTCTTGCTATACTAGTTACAAAATAGATAATGGAAAGGGAATATGTTGAAAATTCCAGTCAAACTACTTCATTCTGCGTGAGGTTAAAGCCGTTTAAAGAACAGTGTAGTCTCGATTATCATTGCTAACATTGTTACGATACTAGGCAAAGTCTCGATTATCCATTTTTAAATTAAATTATTAACTGGCAATGATTCATATAACATCTGGGGCCAAACGAAAGGTCTGCATTCGGGGGCTACGTGAGAGGGGTGCAATAACGAGCTTTGCGTCATGGTTTTGAGTTTTTGCGTCCCTTTGAGTTTTTGCGCCCCCTCGCAAATGGCAAAAATCACGCGGTTTCAACATCTAAACATAATGATCAACCCGTGTCAAACATATACCGTGGGTCAGATATGCTACAAATCGACTTTAACATGTTCCACACAGCCCGATATTACTAGACGGCACTGGGAGGTACCCCCCCCCCCCTTCCCTGCACACATATTTTGTTTTTGTTCGGTTGTTTTTTTGTTGGTTTTTTTTTTTGGGGGGGGGGGGGCAGATGGAATCTTGTTCCTCATGTAAAATCATATGTCACCATGCCCATGTCTGCATTAATCATATTTAGCTCTTAGACAATCTGTTTTCACTGATAATACTGATAACACATTGGCATGGTACAGCGCACAGAAATAGCCGTAAGCGATAACCGTCTATCATGAGTACGGATGACAATATAAGCTGTATATATGTATATATATATATATTTGACAATGATAATAATGTTACTATGACAATATGGCTTATTGTTTTAGCTTAATAATGCATTATGCAAGTTCTTCATCTGCCTATTGGGGGTCTTTGTGTTGGCCTGAAATGTTATGTGAATTATTAATTAGACATCTATTCAGATGACAAGTACATTACCAAATCCCTAGACTATCGAGTGGTTTTGATTTTAATAGATTGAACCACCATCGTCATTTAATAATTTAATTTAAAAATGGATAATGGAGATTCTGTTTATTATCATAACAATGGTAGCATGGGAAATCGAGGCTACGCTATTCTTATCAAAATTTCCAACATTCATAATGTTACATAATCACAGATTATCTGATGTTATAGACGCTTCCTGCCAACTTGACACCTGTTCGCTATCGACATCCTTGGAGTTCTTGGTCTATGTGATTATGTAAGGATTAGTTAACCTTACCTTGGTGGCATGTCTTATTTAAATTTAAACTTTCTTTGATGATAAGCAAATGTTAAACCTGATATGATACATGATACATCAGCCAGATGTCTAATAATATTCCTTTGTCTGGAAGGATTTATAAGCCCAGAGAAGAAACGAATCGAGAGAGAGGTCCGGACAGGACACGAGAGCGCAAGCCATGTGCGCCTAGGCACGGGACGAGACGGAATGAGGGAGAGCGTATTGGACTTGGCACATTTGTGCCAAGCTTGGGCATGGCTCCCTCAACACAGGCTAATTACGGAGTCTTAAGTATTGTACATTATATGTTAGAACAAGCAGAGAATAAAAACATTATAAGATGTTAAACTAGTCTTGTCATCCAGAACTTGATATAAATACCCATTACTGTCACAATAACTTATTCGCTCAGTAATGACTGAGAGTTTAAATATATTTCATTATCATTTTGCATTTGTAAACTATTATGGTGAAAACTTTCAACTCTTTATCTAAGTCTTACTTATAGGCGGGGCAAGTTAATCTCAAAAGTGGTGTGAAACCCAATCTGGTTAAAACACAGATCCTATTTCGTTTCGTTTTTATAGTTCAAAATTTCGTTTTACTTGTCTTTACTACACTTGGATCTAGAAGAGTTGTTATTTAACTCGTGTTCTGAATGGTGTCAGAGATAAGCAAAT